GCAGAATTGCTTGGTAAAATCAAATGCAAAGCCAGCAAGGTAGCATGCAAGTATTGGTGATGCAAATGGAGGATGTAAGTCTGCCTCCGAGGAGGACACTGCAGATTGTCAATGTCTGGGTTTTTGGAAGGGGTGTTCTTGACTCAAATGCTGTCCTGAACCTGTTCTGTGTTGGTCGCTGTAGGGAAAAGTTGTTGTAAATGCTGCTGTGTGCTGGTATCCTGGAACACAGCCTGGCTTTAAGTCATACAGGATGTCTTGATTCTATCAGTAGCAGATAACTAAAGTATTTTTATTTCTTCATGGCAGTTTCAGATAAACTTTTCCTATTTGGAGCTGAGCTGAATTTTTCCAAGAAATAGTCATGCTTTTCCACTGTGGCCAAACATGAGAATTCTTCTATCCACTTTTCATTTTTGCTTGTCATCTGTGGATCTTCAGTCACGCTGCAAAGGCACAGCATGCTGATTTGACAGGTAGGGAGAAGGAGGTGGACATGCTTCAGGCCATGGGTTAACTTGCTAGTGGAACCTGAGGTTGTTGATCCTCAGTTCATTGCTACAAGTTGTTCCTGATGCAGTCTGTGTACCAGAAGTTGAGTTTAATCTAGGTGGTAATTCCTCATTGTGGGGAGCTCCTTTGGGTTGCTGCTTGGGTAGCAGATGCAGTGCAGTGTTCTCAGTCTGCAGAGGGTTAATTTCTGTGGTCCTGTTTACCTGACCCTACCACTGGTGCCAAATTGACCATGCTATGTAGGTAGACCTCTTTATGTGTTACAATGTGGTCAGAAGCTTTCTGCTGTCCTGGAGATCAGACAAAGCTGTCAGTGGTGCCAGGCAAAGTAGTGGCAGAATAGTTCAGCTTTTGTGCTCAGAGCAGATACAAGCATTTTTATCGAGTGTTACTTGGGAAACCAAGTGTGTATGGCAGCATCCAAAGAGCTCCAAGGAATCTGCTTGACCTTGAGGTGCTGTAAGGAAAAAGTAAAGTTCAGAGGGGAAAACCTGTAGGAATACAGCGTGGTTCAGAAGACAGAGAAGGGAGCCTATATCAGAGTAACAGCACTAGGGAGGCTTTCTGGGGGCTGGGAAGAGCAGAGTCATGTTCCTTAAGTGAATGTGGCCTTGTTCATTAATGGTGATGAGGGCAGTTATCAGCTCTGTGACAACAACATGCTGTTATGTCATTACCTACTGGAAAGATATTTAGTTTGTGAGTGAAACTGAAGCAAATCTTCCTCAAAAGCACACAGCAAAAGAGCATTCAGTAGGAAAGAAAACTCATTAGCTTTGCTTGCTGTCAAAGAAATGAAGATGCTGGTGGTGCTGTGGTTGTGCAGACCACAAGATGGTGGCATTGCACAGGTAAATGCTATCAGAGCAGTGGCTTCTGCTGCAGGTTCGTTCTTTCAGGGCTGTTTTAGGAATGGAAATCCTATGTTTAGTATTTTCATCTGTTCCACTGCGAACCAAGAGTCTAAAGGACCGTTCTTGATGGAAGGGCCACTTTTTCAGAATGAGAACCCTTTCTTTGCCTCTTTTCCCCAAGCCGAGTTATTAAGCAATTTGAATACGTTTCTGCCCTATGAGAAGACTGAATACAGTTCTACTTGGAGGGTTGGCAAAATAGGGCAGAATCCCTGGCTTCCTGGGCAATTTCAGATGAGTGGCTTAACTTCTATAGGCCTCTGTTTCCAAACTGTAAGTTGAGTGAATAAATCATCCTTCTGTTCCCCCCTGCTTACTGTTCAGCCTATTCAGGCACTTCGTGTGTATGTAATGCCTAACTCACCGTCATTCTTTCTCTTTTCAAGTAACTGAAGTGCCCTCGTCACTTTCTAACTGTTAATGAACTGTGTAAATGATGGGTTGAGTGATGGCTCACCAGTGGCTGACCTGCACTGAGGCAGCCATGGGCCTTTTCTCTTGACATGTGGACTCATTGCACTTGAGCCCCCGGATTTGCACTTGAATTGCACTCTGCAGATCTCAGATCTGCCTTTTGTCTCGCTACCCAAATGGTTGGGGCTCTGCTGCCAGCTTCTGTGTCCCTCCCCTGCTGGCTGCTGTTGGGTTCAGCTCATCAGTTCAGCTATTCTGTCTGCTGCTGCTGTTCCCCCAGCAGTCCGAATCTTTCTCCAAGACCCTTCCGTTGCCTCTTTAGGGCCTTTCTCCTATCAGAACTACTCCCTTATCAGCATCTTTGTCAACACCTTGACTCAGAGTGGTGAGGGTTCAGTGGCACTCTCCTCCTTTGTGTGCACTCACTTTTACATCATTTTATCAGCTACTGAGGAGAAAGTTGCCTGCCAGACTCCTTAGACTTAGGATGGTAATAATTTTCCTTTATTAAGAGTTTTCTTTCTTGATTAGAAGGTGATTCTCATTGTGGTGGTGGGAAAATGCAGGTCAGAACTGATCTGCTACGCAGTGGAGAGCCTTGAAGTTTATTACATGGATTAAACCATCAAGTTGTGTCAACTGAGGATTCCTATTTTCTGCTCAGTCCTGTTTTCCATGTTGAACATTCAATAACGCACCTTTTTATTTCCTCACCCATGTTTGCTGACTGTGACACAGATTAAACTCTTGGACATGTAGGCTTTCTTGCTAGAGCTGACTGCATAGCATCCTGTGCAAGGCATATTTGGGTTTCTGCTGTAACAACAGTGGGTGCTGTGAAGTCAGTGATCAGATGTGAAGCTGCTCTAGGACTGTTGCTGGAACCAATGGCTGAACTTTCCCTGATCAGATCTCTGATTTCTCTATCTGTTACACTTACAAGCAACAAATGTACCTTGGAGACCAGGGGAAAGGAAGCTGGTGCAGATGTTGAAATGCATCAGATGATCAAATGTTCAGTTTCTATCTTAAAAAAAAAAAAAAAAGTCCAGTGTAAAACAGTTCTGTTCAGTTCTGTTAACTTTAAGACTTGTAAGCTACAATCCCCACTTTAAAAGCGTAGAAACCTTTGCAACTGTTGAATATTGTCAAATTCCATAATATTTTATCGATATCTTAAGTTGTGAGCATTGCTTTTATGTATGTAAAACTATATGCATTATGTGTGTGTTTGTATGCTTTATGCATGTTAGTGTGCAAGTGCTTGTTGAAGTCCTTACTTGATACTTGAAATACAAGTCAATGGAATTGGCTCGTTCGACCAAAACTTGATGGAAAGGCAAAGGTTCTCTTGTTCCCAGCTCTCAGCATGTTCTTGAAAACAGATGTTTGTCTGTTGGTTGTTGGAGGTTTTTTCTTAAAGGTTCTTATTTTGCAGGGTATGTGGCAGATGTGCCAAGAACTGAGCCTTGGGGAAATATTTTCCCTCTTTGTGGATAGCACTGTCCCAGGATCGGGAGCTCCTGAGATTGAATCCTTCCTTTGCAGCTGACCTGCTGTAACTTTGTGCTCCTGTTTCCTCTGTGACTGAGCAGGAATAATACAACCTAATGTGGGTGTTGAAAAACTTGCCTTGGTGCTTGTGTTGAAAAGGAAAATCAAGGAAGGGCTTCTTTATTACATGAATGGAGGTATTCAGCATACAGGCTAACCTGACTCCAATGAAATGGGGGGGCTTTGGATGACTGCATTCTTATTATTTAAGGGTATTTCTTAAAATGGACCTGTTAACTTGCTTATGAATAATGAGGGAACATCCTGATTGACCATTCCTGTGTTGTACTGAGACTAGTTAGTTGCCCTGCCTGGTTAAATTATGGGCTAGCAGGAAAACAGTGAAACACATTGAGGTTGTTGCTAGCTTTGGGATGTAAGCACTTACCAGCTGGCCAAGCGTGCTTAAGTGTGATATAAGACAAACGATGCCCAGAAAAACACTTGTATTTCAAATTGCAACTTATTTCTTGCAATACTAAAGCTCTCTTTGGGACTCTTTCTCAAATCGTATTGAGAGAGGAGCCATCACTCCTGGTTTGGGCCTTTTGTGTTGTTTCAACAAGGGATAATGATCCAAGCAGCAGTTCTCGTTGTCTGGCTTCCCAACCAATACTTGCTTTGACCCTTCTCAGCTAATAATGAGAATAGTAAGGATTTCCTTGCGCAGTAGATGTGTATCAAATCAGTGGCAGATATGCATGAAATACCAGTTTTCTCTCTTTCATTTTGTCATCTTTTAAATCAAAGCGCAGCTTCCTGTCTGCCAATCTCACTGGAAGCCAGCAGGGCCATGTAATTACTTGCTGGACACTGGTCCTAGGCTCCAATAGGAAGTGCTGGCTGGCTGCAGCAGCTGGCGGAGAGCCAAAGCAAAGTTTGAAGCTGTTTGATACCTGCAAAGGCCTTTTATTGCCTGTTGGCTCTGTCACCATTAACGTTATTCATATTCTACGTGGGAGGGGGGGAAAAAAGATGATGCCATAAACCATCCTGTGAAATGCTTCACCCCTCTGGAGGCTGCACATGCTGTGCAGTCTGGCATTCTGCACAGTGTGTTGGTGGCACCCAGCCCCTCCTGCTGCTCACAGCGCAGAGCAGTCGAGGTCAGAGCAGGATGCCCTGGGTGTGGGGGTGCCTGGGGGGGAGCTAATTGTGTCCAGTGACAACCCAGACCAACCACATAGCAGAAAATCATGAGAATCTCAAATGTTGGAGCTGTTGGGGCATGAGATTCTCTTCCAGGTGAAGGATAAAGCGTGGCCTATTTGGAGGTATTTGAGGCAGCTGCGGTTACTGTAGGTTTTCCCATGGATTACTTGGAGAATCCTTTCACCAAATAAGTGATTATAGTGAAAGTAAATGGGAACTGAGTCTTGAAAAAGGAGTGACTGTCCTAGGGTGACTTCTTGCTATAGTGTGTGGTCCTCAGGTGAAATCATATTTTCTCTTGGTTTTCCTTTTGTGTGCCTCTGCTTTCTTGTCTCTTGTGAAGTTTGGACGGGGCTGCGCAGTGAAGGAGCTTTATTCCATCTGTTAGACACCAGTCGTGAGGGTGGCACATAAGCAGAGTACACTGCTAGCACCATCCCACGGTTTGTACTTGCAGCCCAGCAGTGGAAGTAGCAAACAGGAGTCTTAGCGCTGTATGGCATGGACTTGCTGTAGGCACATCTCACAGCCCATCCGTTGCCATGAGAACATCCAGCTACTTTGGTAATTCTGTCTAGATAATGCCTAAGTAGGCCTGCTGGAAGGACTTCACACTGGAAATGTTTTCAAATGAAAGCTGGAATCTGTACTTAGTAGAACTGATTTTTGCTGTCTTGCTGCAGATTATGAATGGAGAGAGAAACTATATGCCATATGCTCCAACATATTCTACCCTTCAGATGCTTGGAACACATGCTCTTGAAAACAAGTGTGTTTTCCTTCTCTAAAGCCAAAGAATACATGTGGATGGCAAGGCTTTGTCTGCTGGGGTGCTCTTCTGAGCTCCTCTGAAACCCGTTCATCAGTTATGTTGTCATTGATGTCCTGTGGACTTGGAGTGACCAAAGGCTTCTTGTACTGCTTTCTCCAGTAGCTCAATACCAGAAGAGGATGCATGTGGAAAACTGGTTTTCTTCCATTCCCCTTTGTTACCAGGTATCATCCAACTAGTGTGCAATGACTACAAAAACTAGAGTGGCCTGCCTTGGAAGGACTGTCCCAAACAGGGATATCTGATGAACTGTGGCCAATGGGACAATTCTTATTCTCCCATCTGTGGGAGAAATGCTAAATAAGGAAAACATGCCTGAGCTGATCTCAGGGCTCATTACTACTTAAAATGTCCCATGGCTCACAGTGAAGGCTTTGGGGATACCTACCTGCTGCACAGCCTGCCTCTGATTGTTGTAGAGGTGCCTTTTTGTGTTGTGCTAACAGTGATCTTCACCAGTGAGACTCCAATCTGACTTCTGCTCTTATCAGATATCAGGTAATCTGAATTTGATGCCCTTACCTTAATTTCTTAATTAGGACTGACTGAATCCCAGAGCTTATAGAAAGAGATCTGCTTTTCATGCTGTCTGTTCATATTTGCTGTTGCCCTAGAATGCCTTCAGAAGAGCCTTATCTGTGTGCCCAAGCATGGTAACACCCATCAGCCTTGGGTCCATCGTCTTTGCAGGTGTGTGCAGACCTTATCTGTCCTCAGGCTTCATCTTTGCTGGTCTGAGTTTCTGCCTATGGAAAACATGCTTGAGAAGCTGCAGTTAAAATTGCTGTATTTGGGTGTACAATAGATCTGTCAGACAAAGTCAAAGGATATGCTTTCCTTCTGTTGCAGTATCTCAGCTTGGTTGCAGGGGGCACGTGGTACAGCCTTTCATTTTAAGTATATTAGCAATGCTCTTTACCAGGAATAGTATCAGGTTATTTAGTAAAACATTGCTTTTCCCCATCTAACTAATACTGATGATGGAGATGTAACGATGTCCAGTCAGGCTGCCCAGATCCTTTTAAGTAGCAGAACCATTTAGGTATGTGTAAATTTCAGAGCATCTCTATTTACTCTAAAAATGAATACTGAAGAAGTAGTGATGAAAGAAACAGTTCAGATGGTAAATGGTAACTGAATAGCACAGAGGGTGTAAAACTCATGGCAGATTGCTCCTTCCCCTAGGAAGGGTCTGGGATGGAGGTAGGTGCCAATGAGTCAGAATCAACTCCCAAAAAATGGAAGCTCAGAGCTGTGGGACCCTGACCCTGCAGGAATCTATCGTGAGCCATGGGTGCCGTGGGTCCTCACTGCCTGTGTTAAAGTGCAAACATTTGCAGGATCATAATCTGGTCACACGGACCGGCAGCTGCTGAAATGTGGTTTGCTGAGGGAGGAGCCCAGCAGTGCAATGGTTCAGTTCCACCAAATCAAGAAGAAAACACTGCAACACTCTTCAAATCATTAAATACACTTCAGAGAAGAGCAGAGCTGTCTCTCCAAGGTTGTGAAGCTCTAATTATGATATACTGAGCTTCTAACTACTTCCTTCTTGCCTTATGGAAAGAACATAGGACTAGTCAGATTAGATTAAGCTTCTTGTATGTTATATCTTAGCTTCAAGTACCAGATGCTTTAGAAGGAGGCGTGGAGGCAGATGTTTTGATTATTGACCGTCCCCAAGAGAGATCTTCTCCATCCTGGTAATTTGTGTGATGGCAGCACCAATAACCCCCAGCCAGATTCAGAATCTCGGTAAGTGAGTTTTTTCACTCATTGGGTTCAGGTTCCTCCTGCAAAAAGTTGTGTTCGCAGTTCTTTATATTTTGAAACACGGGGAAAAAAAATCAAATTATCATCCTGCGAGGGGCTTAAGGAAGGGAAATCAGTAGGCAGTGTCCCCATGGCATGGCTTCAGATTGAGTTTTCATGTAACTGGAACTAGACACCTGTTTAAGACAGCACTGAGTTGAGTCGAGAAATAAAAAGGAGGCCCGTGCTGTACAGATGGTTAAGGATGTGTGCATCGTTGAGTAATTCTTGTAAGATCACTCTGGTGGGTAATATAGGTTAAGGATAAGAATGTTTGTAGGACTGGGGGCTGCTTTAGGCTCGTGTTAATGACTGGATGTGATTCTGGTCTTCAGTGTGTCTGCGTTTGTCTGGTTTCTTACGGAGGATGGATTTCCCAGCTGGAGCTGTGTCACGCAGTGTGTGTGCGGTGGAACTACAAATGCTCTGATAACCCAAATTCTGCTTCTTGAGTCGAAGATCAATATGGGTCATTGATATCCTAAGACACATTGAAAGCTGACCTTAATTGTTTTCCATAAGCTGGAAGATGAGGGAGACTTCCAGCACAAATATGCACCCACCTGAAGTGTTCTTCCCCTGTGTGCTTGTTGGTTTGAGACTCCGCGTGCTTAGAAAAACAAACTCTGCGCCGAGGCTTCTGAGTCTGCATTATAAAATAAAATGCAACGTACATTCCCGATGGTAAAATATTATTTGCTAACATGTTCCAAAAGCTATGCTAGGCAAAAGGCAGTAAAACTATCCTTAAAAAGCTGGATGTAAAACGTAGCAGATGTGCTTTTCTGTTCTGGTGAGAAAAGCACCTACTTACTGGAATGAATGGGAGACTGGAAGGAGGATGTGATGGTTACAATATTTTCTCTTTTGGGAAAGATGAGATGGAGGAGAAGTTCTATTAAATGCTTAGTTATGCATTTGTAAGTTGGAAAGCATTCTTTTGTTCATGCTTATAAATGTGATTTGTGCACCTCCCAGACTTGCACTGATCTGCAGGGAGAGATGGCTCGGGTTGGCATTACCTGTATGGCACGAGGGTACAGCTCAGGATCTGACAGCTGTGGAACTTTACTTCTGAATGCTTCCAAGCAGCCCAGGGAGGAGGAACAGAGAGCAATCCTATATTTGGAGATGGAACTTTTTCCAGCCATCAAATCAAGCATTCTGCTCCTGAGATAACTCAGAACTTAGAGCAAACAAAAGGTTCTAGAATGGATGTAACCAGAGCACCGCGTTTTTACAGCCCTGTCTTGCACACAACATTCCCAGTTAAGAGCCCAGCCTGTGTTTGTGATTTAGTTGCACCCACCTGCACTGTTTTAAATCTCTTGTATTGAACATTTCAATAGGCTGTCCTCCTTACTCCAGACGTTCCTATTGCTGTGAAATGGGCCATCCTGTAAACGAGAGTTACACTGAATCGGAGCAGCCGTGCAAAGCAGAGCTGTGCTGATGCAGTGCCCCGTGCCCTTCAGACCCGAGTCAGCATCGCCAGCTCCCATTGCTTCTCGGCACCCTGCGCTCCCATGGCGTTCTTGGCTCTGCTGTTGGGCTCCAGGAATCGGGGAGCTCTTCGTTTCTCAAATACCGTTGTGTGCTTTCAAAACCACGGCTGCGTGTTTGCATGCGAGCAGCTTGCTTTGTGAAGGGCTTAAATGTGAATTGTTTGTCAACAGGGGCGTTGATTTTTTTTCTGGTGCAGTTGTGAATGAAACTCGTTGAGATTGCCGGGCGAGAGGAAAGGAGGAATTTTCCTTTCCCCTCTGACACTGATAATTTTAACCTACGATTTGTTCCCTTGGGGCACCTGAAGGATTCGGAACTCTCACGAATTCAAGAGCGAGAACTAAGTGCTTCCGTCTCAGTGCCTTCATTGGCTGTAGCCTGACTTTCCTCCTTCACTTTTTCGCCATAAAGGAAAGGGAGGAAATAATAGGAGTTTTAAGGTTATGCTTTCAAGGAGTTATGTATATATTGAAGATAATTCTTTCCTTCCTCCTGGGAGCTCCTAAGGCGTGGTGAAAGTTGATTCTGGTGCCTAAAATCTCTTGAGGAAGGCGAGCATCTTGCTTTACCGCATCCAAGAAGGGCTCACCTGTCCCACTGAGCCCGGCGTGCGGCACAGAGAAGAGCCAGAAGGAAACGATCAGCGCTCCCTGAACTGTCGCTTTTTTCTTCCTCTCTTCCTCCTCAGGATGAGGAACGGGAGCGCTCCAGGCGATTCCCGAATTGGGTTGGGTTTCTCCCATGGGGGCTGCGCGGCTCCATTCCCCACCCCGGGCTGCTCTCCCCGAGCCTCGCACTCGTTTCTGCCTCTAAATTCTCTTTGGAGCGAGTTGTGGAGTGGAGTTGCGCGGTGGAGATGGGCTCTCGAGGCTTTCGTCTGTTTAAGAAAAGCTTTCTGTTTGTTTCCCCCATCCTCCTCCTCCAAGCTCTCCTCCGTCCCGCTGTTCGTGGTGCCGTTTACCTGTCGCTTGCCGCTGGAACGGGCTCCCTTAAGCGATCCGCAGCCACCTCCGCAGCGGCTGCACCGATGTCAATGCTGATTTCGCTTGGAGCGCTTACAGCGGGAGAGGCTGAGGGATTTGCTTTCTGTGAACTGTGTCTAACCCGGCTGCTCGGAGTAGGGATTCCAGACTCGGAGTTCAGGATTTAGAAGTGCTTAAGTGCTGCATTATTGAGATACGTTGTGAAGGAGAGAAACTTTATATTGAGGGTGAAGGAAATCCCCCTCCACCCCTCCGGGATCGCCCCTTCTCCCTGGTGCGGGGCTGAGCCCACGATCCCCCCATGGAACAGACACTGCGTGGGGATCCCGGGCTGCCCCACGGCCACAGCCCCGCTGAGGCACCGGGGAACGGCTCCGCTCGTTTGTCCCTGAAGTGCCGAATTCTGGTGGCAGCTGTTCGGGGCGAGGGGAGCGCGTCTCCTCTGACCCGCGCCGCTGCCCCCTGACCCGCTATGAATCCCTAAAAGCCCCGCTCCCCCGGGGCCACGGCACACGAGTCCCCATTGTCCCCAAAGCCGGCACGGTCCCGGAGCCCACCGGGCTTTCCTGAGCGTCTCGCTGGGGCTGAATGAGCAGCTGCCTTCAATCCGACCGGAGCGCCTCTGACGCGGTGCGGACTCGGCTGTATCGCTGCGAGCGAGAGACTTCGGCTCTTAGGAAGCACTTTCTCCTTACGAATACATCAGCCGAGGTTCGCTCGAATTCCACCGCCGCCCCCTCCCATCCCTGCCCCGACTTTAGGAATTGATGCGGAAACGATCGGGGTGGCTTTGCCAAAAACGCTGCTGGTACCAAGGGGGGGAGTTGAGCCGAGGGGACGGACCCGTGCCTGTTGTGGGGTGGCAACAAAAAGTCCCTTCAGTTGTACGTTTTATTCTCTCATACCTTTGCTGGGAACAGATCGACCTCTTTTCCTAAGTTTTAATCTCGGAGCCGTGAGGTGCGGTTTCTCAGCCGCCCTGTAGCAGCACCGAACTGCTGCTGCTTTTATTCAGTAATGCCCCTCTGCTGCCCTGCTCGAAGCGCTCATTGCACACGGATCGCTTTGGGGAGGTGCGTTCGGGTGGTAAATCTCCTTAACAGAGCCGGCGTGGGATGGATGGGTTCATCTCCTGCCATATCTGTCACTCATGTGGACAGAATAATTCAGTCCCGGCTTCGGGCTGAATTAAGGGCGCGTTTCTATGAGAACCTTATAGGAAGAGTTTTATTTGTGATGGTTTTTGGTAATATTTTTTAGGAGAGCCGTATCAAACGTCGCAAAAAATGTATCGGTCTGACACGTGTTACAAAGGTGGCCCCGAGAAGTGGACATGGAAGCAGGAGCTGAAAACACTGCTTGAATTTCGGTCTGAATCTCATCCCGTTATAAAATAAAGCGGGTTGGAGAGGAGCTGCGCATAATGAATGGAGGAAATCCTCGCGCTGTCCCTTTAACTACCGAACATCTGATTCCCTCATCTGGCAGATGGTCTCTGAGCACAGATTTGCATTCATTGTCTTGAAATCTGTTTTCGCGTTGGTGTTATATGGATTTCGGAGGCAGATCTGTGCCCGGATCAGAACACAGAAGGAAAATAGCAACGAGCCCAAACGGCTTTATAAAGTAAAACTATAGCGGCCCGCTGTGCAGCTCCGCTTTCCTTTCCCGGGGGATGTTTTCCTGCACCGCTCTACCGGGATTTATTCAGGCTCGAGCCGACAGCCCCGCGCGCGGCGAGTGCTGAGGGTGTGGCGGCCTCTCGTGCCCCGTCCCCCCACGCAGAGCCCCCTCCGACCGTTTCGGGGTGCGTGGCCGTGTCGTTTTCAAATATCGCGCCCGACAGCCATCAGCCATCAGCTGCTCTGCGATGCCGCTCCTGCGGAGCGCTGCGCTGCGCTGCGCTGCCCGCTGGGACGCCGCGGTTTCGCCCCGCGCCGGGACGGCCGCGCTCCGGGGGTTGATCGGGGCCGAGCGGCTCGGAACTGCCCTCAACCCTCCAATCGGAGCGCGACATGCAAATGAGCGTCCCTTATATGGCAGCAGGCCCCGCCCCCTTCCCGGCGCGCCCGCTCCCGGCGCTGTAACCCATTCATGGTGCCGGGCGCGGAGCGGCGGCTCTTCCCGGCGCGGTGTCATCAGCCGCCGCAGCTCCGCTCTTCTTTTCTTCCCCCAGATCATCCCGAGACTTTTTTTTTTTTCCCTTTTTTTTCCTTCTGGATCAGGCAGCCATCAGCCCCTTCTCTCAGTGTGTTTCTCCAAACAGGTTGATCCTTGTTAACGGCCGTCGGTTTCTGGATGCGATTCCCTGCGTTTGGAAGATGACGATGCCAGGAGAGACCGAATCGGCGTGACTCACTTTGCGAGAGGAGAAACTTTTTCTCCCATTTGAAGGCACTCAAACACACGCAGCACTTAAAGCTGAAGTTGGTTTCAAAGCTGAAGTCCTCTGCTTTCCCGGGATTTGTCTGTGTCAATTTTCAGAAGCTGCTTATTTTTTCTTTTCCTCCTCCCCGATCCCCCCCCGAAGGAAACTGTTGCTCTTTGGAATAGACTTCTTAAATGTTTGGGATCCAAGATACTTTGGGAAGAGGACCGATTCTGAAAGACAAATCTCTGGGTTCTGAGATGGATTCCGTCAGGTCCTGGGTCAGAAACGTTGGGGTTGTGGATGCAAATGTAGCAGCACAAAGGTAACCGGAGCGGTTCTCTTCCCCTTCTTCCCTCTTCTTTTCTTTTCCTTTATTCCCCAATTTCTGAAGCAGCCTTTTCTTTCCTCTCTCTTATTTGCATTTGATATCAAATTGATTTTCTCCCTTCCTGTCCCCCCAACCCCTCTTTCCCCCTCAGACTTCTCTTGTCAGTGAGGGTTCAGTGCAGGCAGAGATGGGGACACAGGAGAGCATCAGGACTCCTCAGTTCCACTGCAGCTCAGATATCAGACATCGGCTCGTTCCCCCCTTTTTTGCTCTACACAAGAGCAGTGTCAGAGGGAATCTCTTCTTCCAGCGGTACCAACGACTCTTTCCCACTTTCCGAGCCACGCAGCAGAATGGGAGCAGCCCACGTTTAAAGATCAACTCAAACGCAGATCTTCTCAACCCCCCTCCCTCCCCTCGTCCCATCTTGTTTTACTTAATTCAAGTGTCTGTCGCTACCGTGAGCGCCGGCGAAATGTTAACCCGTGGATGCGGGGAGCGGTAACAGCACGGCGCTCCCACTGCTCGCACCTCGCCCGTGCTTTGGCCCTTGGCTTTGTTCAGTTATTTCTTCCTTTGGTCCGTTTAGTATTTAGCATCATCCCCCGCGCACCACCTTGTCCCATTTATTTTATTTTATTTTATTTTATTTTATTTTATTTTATTTTATTTTATTTTATTTTATTTTATTTTA